AGGACTCTGTTCTCAAGACTCTAACTGGACTGTGATTGAACTACGCTGCTAAGGCCAATACAGCAACTAAATGTTGTGTTCTAACAAACACAGGACAAAGCACTTTTTGCTTACCAGTTTTGCCAGATACCACATCTTATCTTTGCTGTATTTTATTTCCCTCCGACAGTGATATATTTCCTAGGCACAAAAAAAAAGTTAAGGGGATCAGTAATTTTGCTGTGAAAACAAGAATGGTGCATACATCTCTGCTTCACAATCTGTTTTTCTACTAGAAATAAAACGACTTCCCCTACTATACCATGAACATACCAAACCAGGCATACCTTTGCCATTTGAGACAGAAAGCATTTTAAAAAATAGCTAGCATACAGAAAGTTTTAATGGAGCTTTATGAGAATCAGTTTACAAACAGCAGTCCCAGAAAGAGAGAACTGGAAGATTTTTCATAATCTTTTCCTTTCTTCCTCCCTGCCTTTTGAAGCAGTCTAAGACTGACATGCCCATTCAGTATTAAAAGTACTACTCTGCTGTCAAGTCAGCTTATTGGGACAGCAACTACACGGTATTACCAAAATGAACTTAATTAGCTCTTCAGAAATGAAGAGGGTTTCAAGTTCGATTGGCACAAAGAGCTGGCTCCGAAGACTCACTCAGCATTATTACTGTACCAACAGGGACCAAAACTAGCTAGGAAAATTTAACATCCATACAAATTTGAAGGAGATGGCATTCTTTATGAACTGATTTAATAAGCAAGTTGGTTGGTATCTGCATTTTTACATACACCGCATTAGTTGGCACAGTACTCAGCATGTATTCCCATGTCCTAGGCCATAATGATCACAGAAGCTGTAAATACTCATGGGCCACAAAAGCACATGTCCAAAAAACCCCTATGCTTTTGAGATGCAAAATCTTTACTCTGCTGAGCAGTACGCCTAATAGAGGGCACAACACATTAATTCCCAATGAGGAACAATGACAAAAATGGAATTCCAAAATATCAATTCTCAAGGCTGAGGAAATACTGAAGAATTGACCTAAAATTATCTCAAGCTGCACTGTAGAGAAAGCAGCACTAATCAGTCCCTTCAGTGATCAAATACACACCACTTGTTTACACGTGCAACTTAAGAGGCTTGCTTCTGTTCACGGTTAACCGTACTTCTCAGCTATAAAATTATCAGTAAGAGTGGACACAGAGGGACAGGCATAAACCTGCTGTTATCAAAACCAGGAATCACTAAACATAAACAGGTAAGGATATTCGTTGGTGTATCCTTACAGCTGGTCTGCGAGGTTCTCCAGGCAGCTGCGGAGGGTAGACGACCCAGTTCTTTTTCTCCCACTTCTTGGATTTCTGCAGAGATGTGCTTGTGTGGATGCATGACAGAGGGAAAAGGCTACTGGATGCCAGCCACCTGCAAGACAAGACCATGGGCTTTGTTGCTGAACACAAGAGTTCTTTGTCCCTATCGTTTATCTGGAAAATCATGAATTTACCTATCTTGATAAAGAGAACTGACACATTTGACTATTCAAAAAATAAAACTGTTCAAACCCTCTATAATTTACACTGAAAAGGCTTTTTAATTCAGCAAGATGCCTCAAGGTTCCTAAAACAAACCACAGACCTTAAGTGACAGCGGTACAGTGTGAGATTTCACACTAAGTGTCCCCAGATCATCGCACAAAGACAGTCAGCTCCATCTTCATGTGGAGCTCATGACTCACACAAACAATTTATATCTTTTCCAAGACCAGCCAATACTTATTGAACTGTTACCAACAACATTTTCAGCAGTGAGAAATTCTAGCTTTTCAAGAGACTGAATATCAATGAAGCATTACAAGTTTATAAACATTCTGAAATTTGAAAGGAAAACTACTTCAAAAACGCAATCGAGTCAATATAAGTCAGCCGATAGAAAAAAACCTGGTTTTCAGTAAGTTTGCTCCCCTCAACTTCAAAAAAAACAAGCTACATTTTGCCCCCTGCTGACTAGGTAAAGCAGTACTGAGCAGCCACTCATAAGCTGAGCACCTTTCCAGAAAGAATCACGCATCAACAATGACTTGGGAGAGCACAGAGGGGCGCAACAGGTACTATGTTACTGTGACCTGCACCACAAAGTCGGAGGAAATCTGGAAGCCCGACAGAAAGGGGTCAGGAGAGAAAGAGGAACACCTCCATCACGCTACAACCTTCAGGTACGCAGAAAGACACTACAGAGACGCGAAGCGACCTGTTCTCCACAGCTCCGGGTTAGAGCAGGAAGCC